ATCTATCTATCTATCTATCTATCTATCTATCTATCTATCTATCTATCCAAGACAAAACACGAGGGGTCAGGACTAGAGAGGAGGGAAATTTACTGATGTGGGTGTAGTGAGATCTTTTTTTGGTTTCTTTAAAAATACAGAAACATTAAGATGGGAATATGTTTTTTTTATCTTTGGCTAACAGGATATCCAATTTCTCCTTGTCTCTTTGCATACAACTACTTGACAGGCATCAGCAACCGCAGCCAGCAGCAACAGTAGCAGAGGCAGCAGCAAGAGGAGGAGAAGCATCAGCTGCTGCAGCCCCTTTCAGAGCTTTAGCATTTATATACCCTCTCAAGAGTCCCCAGAGTTTCAAATGTCGTACACTTGCAGAAACTATCAGCAGCTGGCAAAATCACGCCTCTGCTAGAGCACAAGGCAAATCATAGTCAGCTGCTGTGGACAGTCTGAAGCAGCCCCATATCCCACACCAAGCATTAAAACAAAGACATATTCACATACCACTTTCTAAGTGACTGCTAAACTGTAACTGACTCTGCTGGACACTGCATCCAGCCACAGAACTTACCTTTCATGTTCCAAGTAAAAAAAAAAAAAAAAAAAAAAAAAAAATTGCCATATGTGACCAGGAAGTGAATTTCAGAAAAACCTGAAATCACAGTTTTCAGCATCTTCCCCAGACCATGGTAAGGGACAAGGGTCACTCCAGCTGCAGCTCTCATCTAGGGTAGCAGGGCTCACAAGTGCCCGCCATGTCTGTCTAACTGTGTGACACTTTCTCCAGTGAAGGCTTTTCATCCCTCGGAGGCAGATTTTTATACTGACTACTGGCAGACGGCTCATCTCTTGCACTTCACTGGTTCATACCAACATCTTTGCTTTTGCTTTTGAGTTTAGTTTTTAACTAAATGAATGGCCCCGAGAGGAGGGGTTGTATATTCCTACAGCTCTCCGTGTGTGCTTGAGCACAAAGACACCAAGAATGCCATGCTTTGCACTGGTTTTGGTGTCATTGTGGGCAGGAGATTGCTGAAGTCTATGGGATTCCTCCTTTGAAGATAGCTATAATCCAGGATATGGTGGGATTTGAGTGAGAGGGATGTGGGAAGGGAGGAGTCAGTCTGTACTAACTGATAAACAAGACAGAGCCCTGCAAAACCCACACCCTTCCACACCTAAACAACTCAACTTAGGGTTCCATGGAAAAAACAATTTTTCTTTTATGAATGGATAACAATGAGTGTGTGCATTTCCTAGGGGCGGGTGGTATGGAGCTCTCCAGTGGCTCCTGCCCTCGAAAGCTCAGGAGCGCCTGTGCCTGCACCACGCTCTTCTCCTGGGCTTGGTCCTCTTCTCCTCCTAAAAGATGCTTTCTGTTTGGAAAAAGGAGATTTTCCTGTTATTTCGGTTCCTCGCACTCCATGGCTCTGAACAAGGCTGAGAACAAACAGATCAGCTTTCTGTCTGTGGCCAGGTGTGAGCAAGAATTTCTGGGTAGACAGGGTCTCCATGCGTGGCATCGAGGCTTTATACTCTTTTAGGGGTCGCCATGAGGCTCTCAGGGACAAACAGTGACCAGATGGCCATCTTCCCTGCCTGCCACTCGCCTATCCTTGGCCAGTAGGAACCAGACTGAGGGGCCTTCTGGATTATGGGTCCCTGTGCTGGAAGAAGGTGCCTTCTTGACAGAAACCTGTGAGTTTGGGGTCCTATGTGTCGTTCACTGGGGATGATGCTTGGGGCTAGAGAAAGACCTATGGGGAGCTGTGAGTGTCATGACAGAAGGGCTGGTGGAGACATCAGGTCCCTCCAATGCCCCTGTGGGTCACCTTAGAGGCCCTACACAGGCCAACCATTCATTAAAACAAAGCAAATACATAGACCCAGGCCTCCCAGGAAAAGAACTATCCATTGCTCACTGCCCTATGGCTGGCATGCTGTTGTCCAAATAAGCCCCACAAGCACTGATACAAAGGAACAGAGCCCTACAGGCCCAATGGGAACTGACCTCGAGTCTAAGAGAGCCTGTGGGTCTGAGAGTTGGTAAAGTGGGTCCTTGGGTAGTTACTGATCTCGTTGCTTTCCTCTGGCTGTTATCAGATACGACCCTCCCCAGGAACAGGCAGGAGGGTCCTGAGAGCCAGGCTGTTGCTCGCTCCTTGCAACATCACTAGGCTCCATTTTGACCAACAGGAGGGAGTGGAAGTTGCACCACACTGAGCATCCAGACATAATACCTCAGGAGATGTGGCCAGGATCTCTGGCCAAATACCTTAGGATCTCTGGCCAAACTCTGTGTAAGGTCCTCATCACGGCCAAGCTCAGTTTCAAACCCAGGCTGGGCCTACTTCTGAGCCTGTGCTCTTGCTGAGAGCTCACTCCCACTACCAAGCCACAGGGAAATGTGAAAGAGATAAAGCCACAGGGGTGGGTTGGGGTGGGGTGGGGCTGGGTGGGGTTCTGCCATGTTCCGGTGAGGAGTGGGAGAACTCAGTCCAGAAAAGAGGTAGGTGATTTTCCAGAGTGAGAAGCAGGCCTAACAGATGTCCTGGTCATGAATGGGACAGGTCATCAAGCATGAGGTTGGGACTGTGGTGTGGGTGACAGTCACTTTGAGGGTCCTAACTGTTTCTAGAGAAGGGAAAACCAGACTTTGATCTGGCCGAGGATGGAGGGAGCCTCTCACTGATTTGGCCTAGAACTCCTTAATTTGGGCTTGCCAGATCAGATACCCCTGCGAAACTCCAGCTCATCTGAGAGCTGCCCGGAAGGGTCTCAGTTGCAAGTGGCATTCTTACTTCACCTCAGCCTGGCAGGGGGCCTGATGCTCAAGGAGTACTTGCCTGTCAGTTCCAGGCTGCCTGAAGATCTTCCTATGTTTTCAAGGATTTTGCCCAGAACTAAGTCATTGCTTGGACTCTTCTCTTCTGTGGGGAAAAATATACACCGTGACTAACCCTTGATAGAGAAGCACGGCATGGTGCCCTTTAGCTTCAGAAGCCACAAACTCAGCTCGCTGGCAGAGCCCTTGCCTCGCGTTAATGAAGCCCCAAGTTTGTTCTATGGGAACACAGAAACAACAAATCTCCAGGACCCTGTGAGAAAAGTGAGAAAAAGTGCCGCTGTAGAAGAGCTTGGATGTTGACCCTGAAATCTACAATGTGACTTCCTGGAAACAGGGTCTTTGCAGAGACTTTGGTCAGGATGAGGGCCTAGTGCACCAGTTTTCAAAGATGCATCCCTTTAATACCGTTCCCTAATCTGTGGTGACCCCCAGCCATAAAATCACTTCATTGCCACTTCATACCTGTAATTTTGTTACTGTCTTTTGAATCATAATGTAAATATCTGTGACTCCAAAGGGGTCATGACTCACAGGTTGAGAACCACTGGATTAGAGGAAAAATTTGGCCCTACTCCACTATGACCACTGCAAAATCACCAGGCTCGGTGGCACATGCCAGTAATCCCAGCACTCTGGGAGGCAGAGGCAGGCGGATCTCTGTGAGTTCAAGGCCAGCCTAGTTTACAAAGTGAGTCCAGGACAGCCAAGGCTATACAAGGAAACCCTGTCTCAAAAAACAAACAAACCAATAAATAAACAAACAATACTGAAAAATTTGGACACAGACACACATGGAGAATGATGAGTGAAGACAGAGAAAACGTATCAGAAAACCAAGGATGGCCTCCAGGACAACCAGCCCCACCCATTCTTATGTCTCTCTTAGAAGTGGAGGAGAACAAATTTCTGTGAATGAAGCCACACAGTATATGGACATTTGTTAGGACTTCCCAGGACACAGAAATGCAGATGAGCTAGCCATGTTTCAGATGATAAGTCTAATGTTTGATTAAGATGTGGAGCACATAGCCGGCTGAGGTGGCACACCCCTGTAATCCCAGCATTCAGGGAGGCAGATCTCTGTGAGTTCAAGGCCAGCCTGGTCTATAGAGTGAGTCCAGGACAGCCAAGGCTACACAGAGAAGCCCTGTCTGGAAAAAAAAAAGAAAAACGAAGAAAGATGTGAAGCACAGAACAAGCTCTGGAGAGCCCATTGGCCTCCAGTGTGGACAGGACAGTTTGGTCCCCCCAAGGTGGTGGCTGCCACAATGTCAGTGCTGTGACAAAGGCTGTGACCATTTGTAGGGGGCTCTGCAAGATGGCTTCCCAGGCCTTGTGGATACCCTGGATGTCAGTGGCTCAAGAGTTAACTGAGTGTACCCCACACTCAATTCACAGTAGGAAATTCATGCTGTGACCAAGTCCACTCTTCTGCCATTGAAACAAACAGTCAGTCTGCACATTTTTTTTTTTAAATGTTGGAGTCAACTTAGTAGGTTTTATGAGCTGTTCCTGGGTAGAATCAGTTTGGAAAGTGGCCGGTGGAGCTGAGACAAGCCAACTGCCCTGAGTCTCAGGGCTGGGTTTCCTTGTCTGAGCCCTTCTGTTCCAGGCTATGCTGTAGTTGCTTTCAGTGAACGTGGAGGAAAGCTTTTCATTGTCTGTGTTCAGTCTACCTGCTGGGATCTCGTCTTCTGCCAGCGTGCTGTGTCCTGGCTGTTTCTACAAGGCTGTGGGCACCTATGGCACAAGGAGGACACACAGGTATGGAACAGGGTGGAGCTGTCGCTCCTTCATGCCAATGAGTCTAGGGACCTTTCTTTGCTCGTCACGTTCTTACAGAAGTGTCTCTGCCTGGCCTTTAGCAGGTATCCCCTGGCGCACCGCATGCCCCCGTGCGAACATTCGTTCGTTCGCTCAACCTGTGCACCATACCCATGCTGTGTCGGGACTCAGGTGGCAGAGAGCAGCTTCCAGCCCATAGGAGGTTATTTCCACAATGGCCATGCACACCCTGGCATGGCAGGCACTGACAGGGATCATGGACAGAACGCTTCCTATACCCAGGAATCCAGTGGCCCTGAACTCCACCTGACAGCTCTTGTTTAATTTTTAGGAGCAAGCCAAATTAGGAGCTGCCTTACTGCTTCCATTTAGCTTTTTCTAAAAAAAATTACAAGTTGTAACTCAAGCCATGGGAGGCAGGGGAGCAATAGTGATCGCCAATGCTGGGCCAAGGAAGGCTCCAGACAGAGCTGACGGTTCTGCCTTGTTGACCCTTTCCCATGAAGGAGGGGCGGACTATAAGGGCAATTTCCTTTTAATTTTAGCTCCCTCCCACCCTGAATATCACTGAGGATGTATCAGCCCTGTAGGCTTTTGTCATTCCATTCCTACTTGAAAAAAACAAAAAACAAAAATGGTAGTTCCCTAGGCTATCCCCAGCACTCTGGCCTCCCATCATCCTACATGTACCACAAAGCTTTCTGGACTAACGGGGAGGAAAGCCATGGCTTAGGAGGTGGAAAGTCTTGTTTTAGACCCTTGGTTTCTTCAGGAGAGTGGCTCCTGGGTACCTATTGGTACCCAGGCCCAAAGATGCTCCCATGGTGCTGCATCTAACCTGGAGATTCTCTCCATATTTGGAAGCACATCTTGATGGTTCCTAAGCCCTGATACATTATGTTATGCAGATACTTTCCTGAGGCGATGAGGCAACCATGATAGGAAAAGGGCCTGTGTGTGTCCAGTACAGACAACATTCTTTGGGGGGGGATATTTTTGATCCCCAGCTTGTTGAATCCTCTTATGTGGAGCCCGAGGCCCAAAGATGAGGAGAACATTATTAGTAATAACAGTGACAGAGAACCGAGGGGGAGATCTTGCCACAGGGGCCGTCAGGAGGGCAACTTTGTGTTACTGCTTTAATTGAGGTTAGGATACGTCCCCCATGGCTGTCGTGTTTGTGTTCATCTCTGCTTCTGTGTATCACTCTCTCATTCCTCCTCTTCCATTGGTAAAGCTTCCCTGTGCCCGAGCCTCCTCATCAGGTCACGCTGAGAGACCAGGCTTCAGCTGGGCTGTCATGCTAAGTCAGGCACCATGCTTTGCTCATTTCTCCCTACCTCGACATTTTGTTTTCAATTCTTTTCTCATGTATGAATATTTTTAAACATTTTAGTACAAATGTTTAAGGCTCTAAGTTTTCACATAAGCTCTGATTTGTCTCCCACAAATTTCAGCATGTGTTTTTGTTTTTATTCAATTAAAAATATTTCCAAACTCCTGTTTTGACTTCCTTGCACAGTGGGTCATTGAGAAGCATACTGTGTAAATTAGCAAATATTTAGACAATTTGCCCATGTCTCTTTACATCGTTGATTTCTCATTTACTTCTGTTGTGGCCAGAGAATGTTTTTGGTATGCTTTTAATTATTCTAAATTGTTTGCCGCTGGTTTCGTGGCTGAACCGCCACGTGTGCTGGTGTCCCGCACGCAGCTGTGAACCATGAGATTCTTAAAGTCAGAGGAAAATTCAGATTCAAGGATTATTCCTCTCACTTCCGCTCCCCCTCTCCCCACTTCTTCCTCTTTCTCCTCTTCTTGGTCATTTTCTTCCTCCTCTTCCTTTTCCCCTGAATTTTCTTTCTTTTTTTACATTTTTTTTATGATTCCATTTAATCTCCTCTGCTGTCTTGTCACACACACCTTGAACAGTTGGTGCTGGGTTTATTTTAGCCTTTGAGGCACAGCAGTGACTCATCACGACCTGCCTTCACGCAGTGATGTCATCCCTGTCGGGACCTTAACGTGGCTGCTGCTGCTGCTCCCCTGTGCTGCTGGGGACATGCATTTGTTGCTTTTATGCATTTCCTCCCTCCTTCCCTCCCACTTCCTTTCCCTTCCCTTCCTTCTCTTTTTTCCTATTTTCTTCCTCACTTTGTCGACTGAGTGATATATTAAAGTGCTTGTAAGCAACAGGAACCTTGTGTCTTTCCATCTGTCTTTACTCACCTCTTTTTTGAGGTGAGTAAAAGCTTACAGATTTGTCTTCCTAACAAAATCGGCTCAGAACTGGATCACTTGGCCCTTTCTTTTCTTATTGCCTCCCAGTTCGGAATCCTCGCATCTTTTACTAGTCAGCTTTCTTTTAGACCTGCAGCTGGGCTCAACACAGTTCAGTTTTGGCACACTCTTCTTTGCAGTTTTGGCACGTTTTGGCACAAAATAGGCTTAGTCTGTCTACCGTAGCCACTCTGCGCTTTCTCCAGCATAACAAAGAATCGTTGCCCTTCTTGCACTCTATCACTTTGTGGAGTTAGTGCTTGCCACATTTCTTGCAGAATGTCTGGTGGGTCTTAGAAACATTCGTGGGAGTCAGCACAGAAAGAGGCAAGGCCAGCAACAGCCACTTATCTACTTTTGACACATTTTAAAATGTGCTCCTGGATTTCAGTCTCCATTTCAATATTTCTAATCCCACAGACCTGCAATGATGCTTATTTTGGCTCGTTTTCCTGAAAAACTTTGAAAGGTGCTGTTACTTGGAATGAGAGGCAGACTTTTTTTTTTTTCTTCAGTGACACTGGTCTGTTGTCCTCTGTAGTGAATGATCTCTGAGGAGTTTGATGTATTCACACAGACCACAGCAAACCCACACAGTCTGCGTGTGACAGCAAGACAGAGCGATAACCATTGTCAGTTATATCACTGGTGAAAATGGCTTGTTCATTAGCCCTTAAAATAGTTTCCCTGGAAGGTGAGACCTAAGTACCTCTGTGTGCTTAGATGTTGAGGGTTAAAAGAGAGACCTGGATACACCGGTTTTGCTTATTTGTTCTTCTGTCGACGGGGACGCTAGTAGTTGAGCAGTTGTGAGTTGTGGTTTTGTGGGAACCGGTGGCACAAACGCCCTCCAGTTCCTTTGGGTGCGTGCACAGAGGACAGTTGTGGCACCATATGACAACAGGCACATCTATCCTTGGTATTCTGAGGAAGGGCTTTACTGTCTTCCCACTGCTCACAGACAGGCTCACGGCTTCATCGCTCTACATCTTCCCCCACGCTGGCTGTTATTGTCTG